TGGGGTTCAGTTTCCTGCATTAGGTGCCTATGGAAAAGCCATTTACAGCTACATTCACCTCACTGAAATTTAATTGCCTAAAAGCAGGCATTTGCTCTGAGTTTGCTGTCTATGCTTCATTGCTAGAGAAGGAGGAGAGGGAAAGGCACTTCCAGAAAGTACCTATTCTCCATTCAATGCTTCTTAAAACTGGTATCTAAGATGCGCAGAATGCTTTGCCCCCAAAAGATGCTTCTCTCTCTTGCTCTATGATCCCTCAAGAGAGCGCCTCAATACTTAATCAAAATGACAAAAGTTAGGTGAGGTAAATTCCACCTGCCCTTGGCGCTCTCTTAAATGGGAAAAATGGCATAGATCTGTTGTCAGTAAGTAGCAGAGGACACACTTTTAAGACTGAAATGCTCCCACACACCGTGGTAATAAGCACACATCACAAATGTATTTAAGATAAAATATTATTTCAGGAATAGGTTCTTAGGTGCCTGATTTACTCAGCAAAAACAAAGAGGGAGAGAAATTACAGCTGCTAGAAGCAAAATAGACAAATTTGAAACTTTTCATTTTTTAGCACTTCTAGTTCTCAGGGCAAATTGAATTGTTACAGCTCTAAATAGTCTTCAAAAACTAGAGCAGTTCACAACTACCGGCCCTATTTTTTAAGATATTTTTCTTTTGAAATGTATACATGAGATTTTACATGAATTAAATCTTTTTATTCTACCCTCTGATAATATAGTATGAAATTATTTCAGTTTAGCCCAACCTTCATTAGTCCCCGTTCTTGCAAAAAGAAACAACATTAACCTTAAGTCAAAAACTGAAAATAAAATCCTACCAAAAGAGGTAGGTTTCATTTTTTCCCCTCAAAAAGGTTGAAGTGTTGCAGAATCTGTGTAAAATTACTTGAGACTGTGCTACATCTGTGTTCTTATAGTGAACATGTAACTAACTATTACAGCGTCTATAAATGTACCAAAAAAATAGAAAGAAGAAAAGATGGGAACATAGTACAGAAACTGTCAGCTAATAGCCAATAGCCATTAAATGGCAACTATAATCACTCTTCAAGTAATGCACGGAATTATCAAAATCCTATTTAATAGAAATACCTTGTGTCCATTGGCCACGTCCAAGGGTCAAAGTGATACCATGATGAAGTTCTATCAGATAATCACTGAAAAAGCTACTTAAATAGCATAGTAATAGCTCATCTTCATGGAATCAATGGACTACAGCAGAAGTAGTAGCAATAGTCTTCACTAGACATAACACAAGTTTTCAATTCTAAAATTTGTATTTCAGAATGCTCACTTCACCTTTAAGATCATATATTGACAATTTTAAGATCATTAATACAATATGCAGATACAGTTTTTATGTCTCCACAAAACACGATGACTTTGAGACTCCCAGTAAAACTTATATATGTGTATACAGACTAGCCAGTTTAGTTGACGTTATTGCCATGACAAATGTACTTGGTAGGTTAGATGGAGATTAAACTTAACAGGGTCCAAATGCATATGAAACCAAGTCTCCACCGTTCAAAATATATTTTCAGCATGGGGTAGTTTCAAGCATTATAATCTACAGAATTGGTTTTAAATAAAACTCTAATTCATCTTTCATACAACCTGCAGATTTGGCAGTTTGCTATCTTTTTTTGTCAGATATTCTGCGCATCCTAAGATACAAAATCTTCTACTTCTACTATGGAAGACCGTTTATTTTATGGAAGCAACCATACAACACAGCTCTCCACATATTAGATTTGATGACACAGAAGTTCTCTCCTAGTCTTTTGTTCCTACAGAACATTGGTATAATCAGAGCAGCACAACATAACAGCTAACCAGAACAGAGGGTATCAGCAAGGGCTCAGACATTTCCCAGCTGAAAAAATACAATTTTACGGACAGGTTGTACAGCAAACACACATGCTTCTAACAGAGGAAATCAAATATTTGAACAAGCAGAGAGTGATGCATTTCATTCATGCATGAAAGGAAACCCAGTAAGTAAGAATCATATGCAATGCCACCAGAAATGCCAATGCCTTAAGAAATACAAAACATTTTATTCTAAATGGAATGAAGTCAGCAAATACAGGATTTTTTTTCCTGGAGTTGGAGGGAGCACAGACAATTTTCCAAGAATCATAAAACAGAGGAAAGAACAAAAAACACTAAAAGAAAGAATAGGCATGGATTCTTCTGTAGAAGAATCATTTTTAGTTTACTGTTAAAAGACCAGAAAGTTAAAACTAAGGTTTTTGGTCATAGGCTAACAGTCTAATCATTCTGAGGCTGGAAAATGAGAGATAAGGCGTTCATACAATGCAAAATAAAGAATTTTGTCATAGAAATGTCTAACATTAATCACAGTAGTGTTAGAGTGGCTAATCACATAAGGGAGCTCATCCATAAAGAGCTCTCCAAAAAACATTGAGATTGTCAAGTGCGCAAATCACAGAATCACAGAATCACAGAATGGTTTAGGTTGGAAGGGACCTCTGGAGATCATCTAGTCCAACCTCCCTGCTCAAGCAGGGTCCTCTAGAGCACGTTGCCCAGGATCGCGTCCAGGAGGGTTTTGAATATCTCCAGCGAAGGAGATTCCACAACTTCTCTGGGCAACCTGGTCCAGTGCTTTGTCACCCTCACAGGAAAGAAGTTTTTCCTCAGGTTCAAATGGAACTGCCTGTGTTTCAGTTTGGGCCCGTTGCCTCTCGTCCTGTCACTGGGCACCAGCGAGAAGAGTCTGGCCTCATCCTCTCGACACCCTCCCTTCAGATACTTGTAGACATTGATCAGATTGCCTCTCAGTCTTCCTTCTGATTAGAAGCAGGGATGGCTATTTTCTTACTTAAACTCCACCAGAGCTAAGAGCAGCAGCTAATGATTTTATTTTTCAATGAATCCTTAGAGCATTCCCCTTGACCATAGGTTAGATTTCTGGAAAAGGAATGATGGGGAAAAATAGATTCCATCTGATGAGAAGGCGAAAAGGCATCCATGGATATCAACTTGACAATCTCAGAAGTCTGTTTTGAACTAGTTTTGAGGGGTAGAGTAAAAAGTCCATATGGAAGTAAAAGCAACAAAAAGTACTGATCAAACAGTAAGATTGAAATCTACAGATCAAAGATCAGAAATCATACTAGGCCACAGTAGACTGAGAACAGCAGGACAGCCAGGCTGAACTTTGAGAGGCCGGGTGTACAGAGAAAACAAGCAGATGGATTTGAATGTTCCACATATGACTAAATTAAGCATATAATGCCAATTAGGTCAAAGTCTGGATCATCTCTGGTAGCAGTGCTTGACTGTAGACCTCAGCCTGTGAGATGGTATGCATGAGCTGCATTCAAAGACAGTCTTTGAGCCTGCTTACCACATTCCTGCCACATTCAAACTGCACTTGAGTAGGAACACCCTTCAGTCCTCAAGGCATCTCACATATTTTTGCACCTTACAACCATAGATCCCTCTCAGACATGCACTGGCCCTAATCCCTCTTACTTAGTGTACCACCTCTGCCACCAGACACACCCTATATCGCTGTATGTAGGCTATGCCCTTCTACAATAACCCACTGTCCACAGCCTGCTTCTACACAGAAGTCAGACGAAGCCCATCACTATCAGAAACTGGCCCTTCAGATCCTACTCGAGAAACATATGCAAACCAGGAGGCCACAGGCTAAGTAATTCCACATTAGTATTTTATCCTTAGCACTAATGGAAGATGCACATCCAGGCCAGAAGTTGCCTACTCTTCCTTCTCTCCCATCTTTATATTTACTGCTGATAGCAGGGTGGTTTAGTTTTGCTGAGCAGAAATTTTAGAGGAGGGAGACCAGCAAGTATCCAGGGCTGACAGCCTGTGTGCTAGAATTTCAACTTCAGAGGTGTCCAGCTGATCTAGAGACCAAACTCCAGAACTCAGTTTCCCTTTGTCACCTTGTTATTACCCAGAGGGATTCAAAGAAACAATCCCTGAAAAGAGAGCACTGCTTTGTATCCCACTAGCTTATTGTAGCAGGATACTAAGGTGTGGCAGATCTCAAATGTGTCTCAGATATGTCAAATGCTACTTGATGAGATATATGAGCCAAGTTTAAGTCAAGTTTGCTAGAACTGTGTCCTTGTAGGTGAGCCCAAGCATATAGCAACATATAAGCAACACGGATGATCAGGAAATCAGGCCTGGAGTGCAAAGCAGAGGGCATGGCAGCATGATGGTATAGAGGTACCTTTCAATACTTCGTGGAACAAGTTGAGGCAGGATATAAATTTATTTAGGAATAACATTCTAGGAAAAAATACTCTGCAATATATACCTTAGAAATATGAATTTCTATTAAATTCAGAACCAGTTTTGTTAAATATTGTTACACATAGATACAAGGAAAAAGACCAGATACAGCGTCATGGCCTGTATCCAGTTCCAATTACATACTCTAGAGAAAGGCATAGATGAAATCGTCTAGGGACGTGATCAAGAGCAAGATAAGGGGTTGGGAATTAAACTACCTGAGCAGCCACTGGAAAAACAACATGCAGGATAGTTAACAATTTAGGAATGTGCTTGAAGACAATGTTTGTTTCAAAAGGCAAGAGAAACAGAAGAAGGCCATTTGTCACTTTATGAAGTTTCGTCTTCATTAACACTAACTTCTCATTAAGAAAGAAATGAAAAGGGATGACTTCCTTCTCGGTTACTTAAATATTGTCTCTTACACTAAACTTTCATTCTATGATGATGGTGACTATGCAGGCTTGAAGCACTTTCTAGATCACCAACTGATGTGTTCCTCTTGGATCATAACTGGTTCCTCTGTAGGAAGAAGGGGTTTAAGAGAGAAGCTTCTAAAATATTTATACTAAGTATGAATATTTGTGCTCAGAAGAGTGAATAAAATAGAATACTCTGTTCAGACAACACACAAAATGTCCCAGAAATATAATGCATTAAAAATATATAAAATCAAATATTTACCCAGGTCCTTAACAAGAGACAATGCTTCCCATGATATAAATGCTCCACCACCATCGTCCATAGCTCCCTGACCAACATCCCAGCTGTCCAGATGTCCACTGACCAATACAATCTGGAAAAGCAATTATTAGAAAACATATCTATATGAAAACAGTGAATGAGAAAAGTCAGTTCAGCATTTAGGCATTGGAATGATTTTTTCATAAATTTGGCTTTTTAGGTTAAAATAGGAGGAAGGAAACATTTCAGATAAAATTAAAACATTTTTCTCTAGTAACTAAACATAAATCTAAGACCACTAAATACAACCTGCTGATTCAAACTGCTGGCTAAATCAACCTAGATACACTGTAAGGAATATTTAAATGAAAAGTTTAGTCTTGCATATTAACAAAGTGCATACTGTCCAGAGATATAGGACTAATATATTGCAGAATGGTGAAAACTTTCATACACCAGCTGTGAACTGTGTAAGCCCTTAGGCATTAAATTTGATTAACCCTATCTTTGGGTGCATAACTAAGAAATATGACCTTAGACTGAAATGTTCCCAGACAGAAGTTGTTGTTTTATTATGTATCTGTGGCCCTTGCCACAGAGGACTTCTAATTTATTACTGGATCCCCTATGTGCTACAACAGTGACAAGGTATTTTATAGTTCCATTAGTCATAAGGATATTTTAAATTAAAAACTACACAGTAGCAAGTCCCAGATGGTTTTTCTGCAAAGAAAGTTTTGTGGCTACAGTAGAGTATAACAGTTTATGTGTCTTCAGAAACACATTCACTTTCAGATTTGAACCCTGTCAAGTAAATAAGCAGTATCAGACCAGTACAGAAGCAAAGATCACTCCTTAACTGGAGCCAAAGCTGAAGGGTTGATGGATCTGTGATTGTAAGGAAGAGGTCAAGAAGGGACAAGAACTCTGGGGTAAAAGGCAGGGTATTAAGCATGGTAAAATGAAGCAACCGGACCAAAACAAGAGCAGGAAACTGCTACAGTGTCCCAGGAGTCTTAGAAGAACAATGAAGAGTGCCCTTGGTATAGGGTGGAAGTAGTGCTGAAGCATCCAACCTGTGACACCTCAGCACTGAGGAGAAACTGAAGGAGACCCTTGGAGCATTCATCTGTGTCCTGCCCAGAACCAGACATACATGGAAGGATGCTTCTAAACTCGCTGGTTGATGTCAATGAGGACTCAGAGTTGAACTCTCCTGCTGCCACCTTCTTCTGTGTTATCTGATTTAACCAAACACGAACTTAGGTAATAAAGCTGAAAGAACCATCTGTATTAAACAAAGGCCATGAAAAATTATTAATCATCTCTGTTATATTGCCAGATGTACAATCAGAACACATCAAAACCCTTTAAATTGAGAAAATACATGATGAAATATTTACAAATGTATGTATTATAAAAAACAAAAGTGTCATGCCTAAGAAGTTGGAAAAACATATGATCAAAATCTGAAGAGCTACTTACTCCTTCCTTCTCAGATGCTTCAACCCTCTTTTGTGCCTATCCAACCTTAATTAAACATGTGCTTGATTTCCAGTACAGAGAGATTTTCTTGGGAGTAAGACAGACATGCTCCAGCCTTTATTCCAAAACCTCTGCTCTGTCAAACATGTCTTTAGCCTAAATTTGGTCAGCAGACCCCTTTGTAAAAGCCTCAGATTTACTCAGGAGGTATTTTTGCAGTTGAGGGTCATGATTCTTCCAGCCCCTGAAGTGAAAGACTGCAAACAGCATGAGAAGTACTTAATCTGTGGCAGGCCTCTGCTTCAATAGCAACATAGCTTGAAACCAGATAATCTAAGAAAAGCCAAGCCAGCTTTTGAGGTAGAAGCCTTTTTGAAATGAGGGAAAAAAAGAAGTTCTCATTGCATTACTCATTGCCCTTTCTGTTTCCTTATAAGGAGGACTGAGCATACACACACACACAAACACATACACACACACAGAGTATGGGCAATAAACTCCGCTTTGAGAGCTTGAGGTACACGTGCAGCCACACTAGAATGTGAGTATGGAGAAGAGATCTTGTAGAATATCACATTTTGCAGCTGATCGATGCAGACTTATTGCTGTCTCCTGAATAAGGAATTTGCAAATAAATGCATAAACAGAAAAGGCTCTGAGAGAAAGCATAACTGTCTGCAGTATAAAGGACATCTGTTCCACAACTTCAAAATGGCCATGTGTTTTGTTTATTTTTTAACCAAAGATTGATTTTAGAAGGATAACCGTTCTTGGGAAATACAACTTCAAGTTGAAGAGAATTATTTAGATCAAGTTTATCAATTCATTGAGAAACAAGTTTACAATAAGAGTAATGGCTTGACTTCAGCAGTGAAAGAATACCTCACTAACACTGTTCCCTGGCAACAACCTTAACATGAGTGACTGATAGGGAATTACTTTTCATTTCTGTGAATTAACAAATTGCAATAGCAGGAAATTTTGAATCAGAAGGTGGGGGTGTAATTCTATTTGGGATTACAAACTCCAGTCACAAAGCATCTTTACCAACTCCAGAACATTACACCAAAACAGATTAAGGTTCAAATGGATTGAGAAAGAGTAATTTTATGGATTTTTCCTTAAATTTACTTAAACGATGCCAAGAGGAAAGACATAGATAACACCAGTGTCCTTCCACATGGAAGTTTTAGCAGAACAGTTTTTTTTTTCCAAATGTCATACTTCTGCAGTAGCATCTGTAATGAAGGTAACTGCTAACTAGCCACAGATATTCTTAGAGCAACACAGAATCACAAGATAACAAAAATATTATGTTTCCTTAGCCTTTAAGTAGATATAATGTATCTGGGGCAATGAGTGGAAATGAAAGCACTGCAAAGCAATATAAGTAATTTATTTGTTTTAAATATATAGAGAAATCACAAGTATCTGACTAGGACAGTTCAAATACAGAATTCACAGAATTCAAATCTACCAAAAACATATTTAGAACTCGAGGCCTTTCATGTAATACAATAATTTAGGGTTTGGCTTTCCTGCTATGACAGACCTAAGAAAATGCCACCAGAGACACAGTCCTGATAAAGTATAACAGGAGAACTGAAAGTGCAGGAAACATTTCAAATAAAAGATGAGTTATTCCATTTTGTTTTGTACCAGCATTATGACCACTATTGGATGCCTGTTAAGTCATGCCTAGCATTTCAGTCAGGCAGATGATATTTTACAAGCAAGAGAATTAGAAAGAGGAACCACCCTTTCACAGACTTTTTTTTATCAATCTCAGAGTTACCCTTTTCTAAGCATGACATTTATTGCCACTACAAAACAATCTCCCATTCCATATGTATTCACAAGCCCATTCCATTTGTCATGCATTAACTTCAAATGAATTTAGATGGAACTATCATCTGTTTGGTAAGAGGGAATTTGAGGAAAAAGCTACTCTACTTTTAGTTAGTCTCTGTAATCTCACTTGCTCCTGTAGAGGTACCAGTTAAAGGCTTCTCTCTGTGCAACATTAGGGATCATACATAATAAATATTAGGAAAGAACTCTAAATAACAGTTCCAATCATGGAATCTAGTCTAGAATAACATTTGCATCAACATGCAGTGGTATTTCACATCATGCAGGTACATAGCAATGGAAGAGTAATGAAGTCATCATTCATCTTTGTCCTTCATGGATGAAGAAGACTGAGGCTAGGATCCACAAAGCAGGACCTTTATTGATGGAATCTGCCCATTAACACATTCACTTAGGAATGCTTAGTAATAACTTTAATTGTCTGATCCACTGAAAAGAATTTTCCTTGCATCTTCTCTCAAGTAGACACGGAAGATAAGGAGCACATACCTTAACTTGCATGTACTTAAACAAGAATCATATACATAGACAGTCAGATAACGAAGAACTAAAGAGGACACCAGAACCAAGTCAAGTATCTGTAGCTAAGACACACCCAAATCCGAAGTCTCTGCATGCCTAAACTTTCAGCTAAAACGCAGAAGTGCTCCAGACTGTAACTCAAGTTCCTGCTCAGTCTGCATGATCAGCCAAATACTGCCATCAGTTGTTTGCTCAGATAACATAGGGCTAGGCTGTGGACCCAGGGTTTTAGCCTAGCTGATGAATTACCTGGAATTTCATGGAAACCATTTCTATTGAAATTCTTGTTCTTTTTTTCTCCAGTTTGCTTCCAAGTAGGTCCTTCTTAAGCACTTAAGTATTACAATAAGGTCTTACGTTATCTGACTGCATATTTTTTCTTTTAGTGCATAGAATACTTGTAAAACACATAACTTCTACCTAGGAACACCATATACAATTGTTCTGTGCTTGGATCAAACTTAAGAGGAAGCCAGAAGTCAGGTAATAATTAGAATCTCTGATTCAATCCAATCTAAAACTTACTTATAAACTCTCCCCTTCCCCAAACAGTCTCCTCTTCTTACACACATACAAACGCACACACTCCCTCTCTCTTTCTCACTTGACAATTTTCTATTTTTCCCAGTCCCAGACAGAATTTCTGACGCTAACTAAATCTTGACCTAAACACAATTAAAACCTATTTCTCAGATGAACCCACTATCACATTTAGACCTGTGCTTTTAAGCATAGGGAGCACATTTTGACTAATCTACCCATTTGGCCAGTTTTACAACTATGAACTGTCAGATAGCTGCAGTTTGTAAGAATCAAAAGATTTTCTCTATTTCACTGTGTTAATAACATGAGAACAAGGGAAAAGAGAAAGACAACATATCATGTGCCTTAGCAGTGGGCAAATAAAACAGCTGCCACAGCTAAATGTAAGCCCATCATTCTCAACTTTGCCTCCAAAACTATACTTAAATGAAGGAGAAAGTCTGTGCACTTCATGCACAAAGATTTAGAAAACTACATAATAAATCTGGCATGGCTCTCAGATATTTTAGAAGGTATTAGCATCATTAGTAGTAGTGCTTACAAATATTTTCTGGAAAATGGCAACACTGAGCAATATGTCTTTCTACTGCTTACTCACATAGCAAAGCTGGCACTAGCATCCACAGACACCTTCCTCTTTTAAAAGTAATTCTTAATCTGCAGACTATAAAGTACTCTCTTTCCCACTTA